TGGTAACATTTTGCAAAACTATAGGATAACATCACAACCAGCATATTGACGTGGACAATTATGATACAGAATATTTCTATCACAAGGATTCCTCAAGCTGCCCTCTTATAGCCACATCCACTTCTCTCCTATTACCATCACCTTCTTAATCCCTAGTAACTGCTAATCTATGTTATCCATTTCTACATTTTTGTCATTTCAAATATTTTTTTAAATATTTTTTATTGATTGTAAATATATTTTTACTGATTTCGAAGAGAAAGGAAAAGGGAGAGAAAGAGAGATAGAAACATCAATGATGAAAGTGAATCATTGATCGGCTGCCTTCTGCACAACCCCCACCAAGTATTGAGCCTGCAACCGTGGCATGTGCCCTTAACTAGAATGGAACCCAGGACCCTTCAGTCTATAAGCTGATGCTCTATCAACTGAGCCAAACCAGTTGGGCTCAAAGATTTTATTTTATAAATAAAATTGTACTTTATACTATTTTGAGATTGGTTTATTTATCTATTTTTTATTTTATTTTATTTTATTTTTAATATATTTTATTGATTTTTTACAGAGAGGAAGGGAGAGAGATAGAGAGCTTGAAACGTCAATGAGAGAGAAACACCGACCAGCTGCCTCTTGTACACCCCCTACCGGGGATGTGCCCGCAACCAATGTACATGCCCTTGACCGGAATCAAACCTGGGACCTTTCAGTCCGCAGACCAACGCTCTACCACTGAGCCAGCCAAACTGATTTCGGCAAGATTGGCTTTTTTAATAACATAATTCCCAGGAGATTTATCCAAGTTATTGCATGTATGAATAGTTCACTCCAGCCGAAACCAGTTTGGCTCAGTGGATAGAGCGTCAATCTGTGGACTGAAAGGTCCCAGGTTCAATTCCGGTCAGGGGCATATACATTGGTTGCCGGCACATACCTGGTGCGGGGTGTGCAGGAGGCAGCTAGTAGATGAATTTCTCTCATCGATGTTTCTAGCTCTCTATCTCTCTCTTCTTCCTTCCTCTCTGTAAGAAATCAATAAAATATTTTTTTAAATCAATCTTTATTGTTCATCTTATTACAAAGGTTCCTCATTTCTTCCCCCCTCCACCAGGTTTCCACCCCATCCTCCGCCCCCTCCCCATCCACCATTGTCCTCATCCATAGATGCACATTTTATGTTCAGTCTCTTCCTCCCTCCCTTTCCCCGATAGTAAATCCCTTTTCAGATAGTAAATCAGTTACTTAGCATTTTCTCATATCAATAATACCTCCACATACCCAAAGATACACTTCATACAAAAGACATTTCCAAATAGGTCAACTAGCCTCATCCAGGCCCCACCCAAGGCACTCACAGATCGACACCCCAGCCCTATACTAACTCAACACATCCAGATCTAAGCCTTCATCTCTTGATTCAGCAGACCCTCAAGTTCCCGCAAAAGTTTCCAGCCATGTCTGAGAGGCAGCTGTGGGGCAGGGGCAGGCGAGGAGCGAGCTGTTCCGGGCCTGGCTGCTCCGGGCCTGGCCGCTGTTGCTCTGGTTCGTTCTACAACCAACTGCTCCGGGTCTGGTCACTGCCGCTCCCGACCTAGTTGCTCTGGACTTGGCTGCTGCTACTCCGGGCCTGGCCGCACCCGACCCGGCTGCTCCCCCGGGCCTGGCCGCTCCCAGCCTGGCAGCCGCTGCTCCAGGCCTGGCCGCACCCGACCCAGCTGTTCCGGGCCTGGCCGCTCCCAGCCTGGCAGCTGCTGCTCCAGGCCTGGCTGCACCCAACCCGGCTGCTCCGGGCCTGGCCGCTCCCAGCCTGGCAGCTGCTGCTCCGGGCCTGGCTGCACCCGACCCGGCTGCTCCGGGCCTGGCCGCTCCCAGCCTGGCAGCCGCTGCTCCGGGCTTGGCCGCACCAGACCCAGCTGCTCCAGGCCTGGCCGCTCCCAGCCTGGCAGCTGCTGCTCCGGGCCTGGCCTTGCCAGATCCGGCTGCTCCGGGCCTTCAATAAAATATTTTTTAAAAGAGCTCACTCCATTTAATTTCTGGGTAGTATTCCATGACATGTATATAGTATTTAATCCATAAAGAACATCTGGCTTGTTTCCAATTTTTTTTTCTACTACAAATAAAGCTGCTATAAACATTCATGTATAGGTTTTTGTAAGAACATACATTTTCACTTCCATGGGATAATTTTCCAAGACTGAAATTACTGGGTTGTGAGGTTGTTGCATGTTTGGTTTTTCAAAAAATTGCCAGATTTCCAGAAAGACTGTATCATTGGCATGTAATATATGAGTGGTCCAATTTCTCTGTACTTGGTGTTGTTACTAATTTTTATTTTAGCCCTTCTAATAACTATGTAGTTATATTTCATTAAAATTATACTTTGCATTTTCCTAATGGCTAGTGATGTTGAACAACTTTTCCTGTGCTTATTTGTTATTTTTACATTGTCAGAAATATCTGTTTATGTCTTTTGACCATTTTATAATTGGATTGGTGTTTTAGTTGTTTTTTAACTAATGAATTTTGAAAGTTCTTTATATATTCTAGGTACTTTTGTGGGATATGTGGTTTGTAAATATTCTCTACTAGTCTATAGCTTGCCTTTTCATCCTATAAACAGGGCCTTTTGCAGAGAAAAAGTTTTTCATATTGATGAAGTCCCATTTATCAATTTTTTCCTTTTATGGATTATGTGTGTGTGTGTGTGTGTTTTTTAAGTGTTAACCTAAGAATTCTCTCCCTCAATCTAGATCCCAAAGACTTTCTCCTATGCTTTTTCCCTAAAAAAAAAAAAATTATAATTTTATATTTTACATTTAGTCCATGACCATGTTGGTTAATTTTTGTATAAGATGTGAGATTCAGGTTCAGTTGTATTCTTCTGCCTATGAATCTAATTGCTCTAGCACCTCAAAAAATTGTTTTTTCACTGTTGAATCACTTTTGTACCATTGTCAAAATTTAATTGGGCGTTTTTGTGTGAATCTGTTTCTTGGTTGCCTATTTTGTTCCACTTATTTTTTGTGTTTATCCCTTCAATGTCACACAATCTTGATAAATTTTGCTATAAGTCTTAAAATTGAGTAGATTACTTCTTTCCACTTTATTATTCTTTTTTAAAAATGTTCTACTTCCTTTGCCTTTCCACATACATTTTAGAATAATATTGTCTATATCTACAAAAAAAAAAGTCCTATAAAATTGTTGGTAGAAATTGCATCAATCCTATATATCAATTTGAGGAAAACTGACATCTTTATTCTGTTGACCATCCAATTCATGAACATGGTATCTATCTCCATTTATTTAGAACTTCAATTTATTTCATTAACATTTTGTAGTTTTCAGTATGCAAAGCTTGTACTATCTTGTTAGATTTACACTTAAGTCTCATTTTTTTAATGATTATAAACAGAACTGTAGTTTAATTTCAATCATGTCACTGAAAATGGGAAGTGTTTTATTTTTTCCTTTCTGATCTGTACAATGTTTATTTCCTTTTTTTTTAAATCTTATTTAACTGACCAGAGTGTAACAGAAATATGTTGAATAAGAGCAGTGAGAGTGGACATCTTTGCATTTTCCCCAATTTTAGGGAGAAGGCATTCAGTCTTTCACCATTAAGCATGTTAGCTGTCGATATTTTCAGATGATCTTTATCAAATTGAAGAACTCCCCTTTTTCCTCTGTTTCTGAGAGTTTTATCATAAATAGCTATTTGATTTTTTCAATTGCTTTGTGTATATTATTGATACGATCATGTGATTTTTCTTCTTTAGCCTATTTACATGAATTACATTGAGTATTTTTAAAATATTGAACCAATCTTGAATCCATGGAATAAGCCCTACTTCACCATGGTGTAAAAAAAAAATTTGTCTTGTATATTGCTAACATCTATTTGCTAAGATTTTTACATCTATTTTCATAAAGATCATTGATCTGTAGTCTTATATAAGTGTTTTCTTTGTTTGCCTTTTTCTGGTTTTGATATCAAGGTAATACTAGCATCACAAAATAATTGGGGTAGGTATTTTCCTCTTCTATTTTCTCGATAATATTGTATAAAATAGGTGTTGATTCTTACTAGTATTTAAATATTTTGTAGAATACTCCAGTGAAACCATCTAGTATTGGCAATTTCTTTATTAAAAATTTTTAATTAAGAAGTTAATTTTCTTAATAGTCAAATTACCTATTTCATATTGGGTGAATTGGGATAATTTATATTATTTGAGTAATTAATCCATTTAACTGAAGTTGTCAAGGGTGTGTTTGTGAGGTGGTCATAGTATTTCCTTATTATCCTTTTGATGTCTGCAGTGCCTATAATGATCCCCCTGTTTTATTCCTGATAATAGTAACTTGTGTCTGCTCTATTTTTCTTTTGTTCATCTTGCTATAGGTTTGCCAATTATATTGATCTTTTCAAAGAACCAGTCCTATTGCATTTACTCATATTTTTGCTTATTGTGTTCTTCCTTTATGATATTCCATAGATCCTTCTTTTATTGATTTTTTTCTGTTTGGGAAATTCTTTTCTTTATTTTTTAAAATAGGTTTGCTGGCAATAAATGCTTTTAGTTTTTAATGATCTGAGAATATTTTTGCTGGATATAGAACTCTAAGTTGGTAGAGCCTTCCTTCCAGCACTTGAAAAATGTTGTGCCACTTCCTTCTGTGTTCCATTGATGCTAGTCAGAAATCTGCTTTTCGGTAGATTTAGACCACAGTGTTGTAGGACATTCACGTCAACATGAACTCTAGGCCAAAAGTCCCTCAAGTTTAAGGCTTCAGCTCCAATCAAATAAATTAATGTATATTCTGCATCCTAGAATTTTATCATGAAATATAATGGAGCATATAGAAAATATTAGCTACTATATTTTTTATTTAAGTTTCAAAGAAAAACTAATATTTCTCCACACTTCATTAAAATCTGGAAATAGGTAAACAAGGTGAGCAGGAAGTAACTTTTTGTGTCTTTTTTTTTTTAATCCAGCATGGAGAGAAAACTTATGTATTTGCCTCTATCCACTTCCATATCAGAAATGGAACCCAATGACACCTTCAGCAATAACAACAGCCACAAGGACTGCCTGATTGAAAAATTCAAGAGGGATTTTTATCCTGTTGTGTACCTGATAATATTTGTCTGTGGAGCCTTGGGAAATAGCTTTTCCATCTATGTTTTTCTGCAGCCTTATAAGAAGTCCACATCTGTAAATGTTTTCATGCTGAATCTGGCCATTTCCGATCTCTTGTTTATAATCACACTGCCCTTCAGGGTTGACTATTACCTCAGAGGCTCCAATTGGATATTTGGGGATCTGGCCTGCAGGATTATGTCTTACTCCATGTATGTCAACATGTACAGCAGCATCTATTTCCTGACTGTGCTGAGTGTCATGCGCTACCTGGCAACTGTCCACCCCTTCCGGCTCCTCCATGTCACCAGCATCAGAAGTGCCTGGGTCCTATGTGGGATCATATGGACCCTCATCATGGCTTCTTCAACAATACTTCTGAAGAATGGCTCTGAGCAGAAGGAAAATGTCACATCATGCTTAGAGCTGAGCTTCAATAAAATTGTTAAACTGCAGATCATGAACTACATCGCCTTGGTGGTGGGCTTCCTGCTGCCACTCTGCACGCTCAGCATCTGCTACCTGCTGATTATCCGAGCCCTGCTGAAGGTGGAGGTCCCGGAGTCAGGGCTGCGGGTTTCTCACAGGAAGGCGCTCGTCACCATCATCATTGCCTTGATCATCTTCCTCCTGTGTTTTCTGCCCTATCACGTCCTGAGAACCTTCCATCTGGTTGTGTGGGAAATGGGCACGTGCACAGACAGGCTGCAGAAAGCTGTGATCATCACACTGGCCTTGGCAGCTGCTAATAGCTGCCTCAACCCTTTGCTTTATTATTTTGCTGGGGAGAATTTTAAGGACAGACTAAGGTTTGCATTCAGAAAAGGTCATGTACAGACAACAAAGTGCGGCTTTCCTGTTTCGTGTGGTTGAAAAAGGAAATAAGAATGTAAGAGATTATTGAGACTTGCTCTTATATTTCACCATCTACTTTTATTAAAACATAGTTTCCAAATGACCACGTATTTACATTGTTCCCAACAAAGGTCAATTCCCAACATTTACTTCACCAGGACTTTTGTTAGTAACACCTACTTCAAAGATTTCATTAGGTGTATTTTTAGTGGTTGAGGCACATGAGGAACATAGTAAGGACACTCATTACTAAAGTTTTGCCATCTGAAGTGTCAGACTGAGAAAAAATGCCAAGCACAGTGGGTGCTACTTTTCATCATATTCTGTACTAGATGGCCCATCAAGCATTCTAAATTCTTAACTTTAAGATAACCCCAACCTCTCCAGCTTCTTCAGTTCCTCTTCCTTATTCAATCCCCCTGAGATATAACCAATTAACAAAGTTGCTGGAGGTCCAGAACAGATGAGAAAACCTAAGAATTTAGGGAAAAGACCTTGATTGTGAAGAGAAAGGCTATCCTCTAACAAAGCCAGAGTCAAGGTTCCAAGTGAGCAGTGAGAGGAAAATGGGGAAGAAGGACAAGGGCATGAGAGAACTGGTGAGAAGAGTGGGAAGGAGGAATCTCACTTTGCACTGGGAGAGGGACTCCAGCACACTGGAGGCAGGAAGGTTCCTTTCTCTTCTCTTTTGCCAGGAGTGATAAGAAAGGGGGGGGGGGGGGGGAAATAGGAGAAAGACAGTGGGCATTGTGTAGGATAAGGGAGAAGGGTGATCAGTTTTACTTTTGAGATTTGAGTTTAGATGGACTTCACTGAAGTTCTCAGTCTTTCATGTTAATCCGTTGGGTTTGGGGGTCAGACTGGAGGAGGTGGCTCTAAAGGTTTGGTTGGGTGCTCAGAGAGGGTGGCATGGAGGACAAGTCACAAAGCTTGTGATACCCCTGAAATTTTATTAAAACTTTGGCAGAACATAAGTAGGGTGGCTTTCCTTTTGAGAGTGTAGAAATGCTAAGGAGACTACAACTACTACCATCATGATCACTGTATGTGCAACAATGGAGTGCCCTCTTTATGCTGGGCAGACGGGACAGACACTTCACACTCATTGATCCCATTTAATGCTCACACCAAAGCCCTGGGTTCCCATTTTACAATGAAGAAACTGTAGTTCAGAGAAATCAAGAAACTTGCTCAAGTTCACACAGACCCTAAAAGTCCAAAGCCTCTCTGGCTGGTTGGCTGGGTGCTTCCTCCTCTACCGCCCTGAGGGCTTCTAGGAAGGCTGGTTGGGAGCCAGAATAACAACAGTTCTCTTCTCCAAGCAGGCATCTACCCTTCCTCACTCTCATGAGAAGCCTGCAGATAGAGGTTTTCTCTTCTGATTTGTTGACTTTGGGCACAGTGGAGGGAGGGACGGAGGTGGTGTTCTGCAGCCTAGAGGATCCTCCCATGAAAAAACTGCCCATTCCAAGAAAAAAGATCAACATATACAGACTGTTGGGGATTCCCCAACACAGAAGCCAGGGTTATCCTATTGTCTAGAGTATCTATTAACATGTTAAAGTCTCACTCTTAATTATGAATAGTCAATGACCACTACACATTAGAGAAAAATGGAAAACACCCACAAATAAATGAGAAGATAGAGATATTTTCAGTATAAGATGTCTCAAATATGTTATCACCTTTGCACTTTTGATCAGAAATCTACTGGAGGATATGCTCTTCCGAAATAATAGGTTACACTAAGACAGAGGAAAACATAACAGTGTAGGAAACAAGAAATCCAACACAGGAGAAAGATGAAAAGAATTCCCAGGATGTTGGTATGTAGCAAAAAAACACACACAAGAAACAAATTGATTTGTAAACATTGGAGCGATTTATGTGTTTTTTTAGAGAACTTAGGATGAACTAGTGGAGATAAATAGAAAAATAGAAAGTGAAAAGACAATGCAATTATTAAATACTAGGAAACCTGTTTATTTGTTTTTAAAGAAAGAATATAATATACTGCATGGGTTAGCTGTGAATAATATTTATGTACAGAATAATGTAAATAACAAAATATTATGATATAAACTTTTTTTCAAGAAATGAGGGGGTTAGGATTTGTATATGGGAGCGGAGGAGTGTCAGCAAACTAAATCCCTATCTCCCATCACAGAGAATACATAACTAAAGCTAGAAACTGATAAATAACTGTATAAAATTTATTTAGCAATAGGAGCTAAAGTCCAGAAGAAAAGACAGAGATTAACTCTACAGAGAAGTTGCAGGTGAAAAGATAGGATGGGAACCTCTCTTCGTCTTTTAAGAACTATTTAATTGTCTAACTTACAAATATGTATTGCTGATATAAAATAAAAATTAAGTTAAATTAAATTTTAAACTTCAAATCAAGTATTTGTGTTGTCTTTTTTTAAATGAGGGGGGAAAAATAATCCCACCAGAACCCTGAGGGATCCCCACCCACCTCTGCCATGGGAGGCGTGTCCCTTCCTGGGGTCAGAGGTGATTTGAAAGATCCAGATGTTTTTTAATTGCAAGTAACAGAAAACACAACTCCAAGTGGCTTAAGTAATCATCTCACATAACTGAAACATGACACAAGGAAGTTGGCTCTATTCAGTCAGGGTTCTGTGATCCTCCCTCTCCAGGTGCTGGCTTGGTTCCATGGCCAGGTCCCATCAAGAAAAAGCTGGTTGCAGCCGAAACCAGTTTGGCTCAGTGGTAGAGCATCAGTCTGCGGACTGAAAGGTTCCAGGTTTGATTCTGGTCAAGGGCATGTACCTGGGTTGCGGGCACATCCCCAGTAGGGGTTGTAGGAGGCAGCTGGTCCATGATTCTCTCTCATCGACGTTTCTAGCCAGGGGAAAGGGCTGCAGGAGGTTGGCCAACTGGCCCCATCCCCTGATCAGGCGGGTTTGCTGGCTGCAGTGGGCATCATAGCAAACAGTTGTTCCGGTTGCTGGCTTTTTATATATATAGATAGCCAAGATATGGAAATAACCTACATGCCCATCATAGGATAATTGGATAAAGAAGAGGTGTTACATAGCAACAGTAGAATATTACTCAGCCATACCAGTAAAAAGAATGAAATATTACCATGTAAGATTGCATTAACATGGGTGGACTGAGAGAATATTACACTAAGTGAAGTAAGTCAGATAGAGAAAGACAAATAACATATTATTTCATTTACTAGAGACCCAGTGCATAAAATTCATGTACAGGGGTGTGTGTCCCTCAGCCCAACCTGCACCTCTCCAATCTGGGACCCCTCGAGGGATGTCCGACTTCCCATTTAGGCCAGATCCCAATCTAATAGGATCGGGCCTAAATGGACAGTGGGACATCCCTCTCCCAATCCAGGACTGCTGGCTCCCAACTGCTCGCCCGCCTGCCTTCCTCATTGCCCCTCACGCTTCTGCCTGCCAGCCTGATCGCCCCTTTGGTTCTCAACCTTTTTAATGCCGTGATCCTTTAATATAGCTCCTCGTGTTGTGGTGAACCCCAACCATAAGATCATTTTTGTTGTTACTTCATGACTGTAATTTTGCTACTGTTATGAATCATAATGTAAATATCTATGTTTTCTGATGGTCTTAAGCGACCCACAGTTTGAGAACCGCTGCTGTAGAGCCTAAGACCATAGATACTTTTTTTTTTTTTTTTTTCTCTCACAGTTTTGGAGTCTAGACGTCCAAGATCAAGGTGCCACCAGGGCTGGTTTGGTGAGGCCTCTCCTCCTGGCTTGTAGATGGTTGTCTTCTCTCTGTGCCTCACATGGCCTTTCTCTATGTACATGGGGTGCGTGTGGGGTGCTGGGGTGAGGCAAGCTCATCAGAGGGTGCTCTGGTATTTCTTTTCCTTCTTATAAGGATGCCAGTCCTATTAGATTAAGGTCCCATCCTTAGGACCTTAAGAATCTCCATGAAAGTCCTATCTCCAAATATGGTCATATTGGGCAGTAAGGCTTCAACATATGAATTTGGTGGGGAATGTAGTTCAGTCTTTAAGAGTTTAATGATATTTTTGAGGCAGAGCCCCTTAGAACAACATGATTCTCCTCATCTCAGTGGTTCTGGTTTCTCTTGATGGCATATTCCTCTTTCCTCGTGAGTTATATGTACTCAGAACTTGGGTTCTCTGAGAAGAATAGGGAGGTGCTAGGAAGAGTTGTCCCTTGCATTCTTGGTCTTGTACACAATCTTCACTCCAATTGCTGGCTGGTTGGCAAGTAAACTGAAGGAAAGCAAATGTCAAGAGAGTCCAAACCACCTTCTTTGCCGATCTTTAAAACTGGACTATCTCTTATGATAGCTCCTTGAGGAGGTTACTTGATACAATGTAAAAAGCATTATACCTGGAAACAAGTTATGGCTTCAAATCCTATAACAGCTTACCATGGCTCATAGGCCCCCTCATGACTGGGGCTCTGGCTCCCTGCACATGAAAGGTGTTCTATTGTGATGCACAGAGGAGAAAGGAGGGAGGAAGAAGGGCTGAATGGAAAGGTAGGCCTGGACAGAGAGAGAGCAGTGAGTCAGTGGAGAGTAGGATTCAGGATGGGCTGACAGAGGAAACTAGGGGAGAAATGGGGGTTACAAAGAGGTCTGAGAGAATCTAAAGGATCAAGTACACTGTGCTTTGTAAAAGGATAGCAGCATGGAAGGAGCAAGAGAAACCTAGATACACAGTTGGCTATGCTGGCCAGTGATATCCCTCTGCAGAAGGCCTGGGGAAGGTTTTATGCCCACATGGGCAGAAGCAGGCCTGTGTGGAGATGACACGGGTCTCAGCAGGAGGCAGAAGTTCCTTAACACGGGATTCATTAGGCTTGGATGCCAGCTGGACAGGAGGAGATAGAAATACAGTAAATGTATCTCATCATCCAAAGCAGGAAGGAATGAAACATTTTAGAAGTCCCTAAAAGGCAGATTTTATGTTAATCTATAATAATAATAGTATAATATGCTAATTAGACTGGATAGCTGAACGACCTTCTGGAC